ACTTGTCTGCGGTTTAAAACCTTGGTCGTGGTGAAGTATATGAGGTTCTTGTGATCCGTCCATACCTGCACAGGGTAGGTGGGTCCCTCAAGATATACTCGCCACTGTTCAAAGGCAACGACAATAGCCAGTAGCTCCTTGTCGTGGATGTCGTAATTGAGTTCCGCGGGTGACAGTTTCCTAGAGTAGTACGCGATTGGTTTGAACTTACCGTTCTCGTCTGGTTGATTCAGACATGCTCCAATTGCGAAGTCAGAAGAGTCCGTTTCGAGGATGATCTTCTTTGCAGGGTCAAATGTAGCAAGGATAGGTGCTTCCGTGAACTTCGTCTTAAGTTCCTGGAAAGCAGCCTCTGCCTTGTCCGTCCATTTGAATTCGAGATCCTTTCTGGTAAGCTCCGTGAGTGGTTGAGCTACCTTGGAATATCCCGAGATGAATCTCCGGTAGAAGTTGGCGAAGCCTAGGAAGGCTTGCACTTCCTTGACCGTGGTCGGTGTTGGCCATTCCAACACTGCCGTTACTTTTGCTTGGTCCATCTTGATGCCGTGCGTTCCAATAATGTAACCCAAGAATTCGACTTGGTTTTTATGGAACTCGCACTTCTCTGGTTTGAGGAGTAAGCTGTACTCCTTTAGTTTCTTCAGGACGAGTTTGACATGCTTGACATGCTCCTCCTTGGTTGCTGAATACACCAGGACATCGTCTAAGTAGACAATGGTAAAGATGTCTAAGTATTCGTGCAAAGCATCATTCATCAGTCGTTGCATAGATGCGGGTGCGTTTGTTAGCCCAAAGGGCATGACTTGATACTTGAATAGGCCATAGCGGGTGCGGAATGCTGTTTTCCACTCTTCCCCAGCCTTGATTCGGATCAGGTTGTATGCTCCTCGCAGATCTAGCTTACTGAAGATCTTTGCTCCTTGAAATCTATCGTGTAGTTCGTTGATTAACGGCAGGGCATACCTGTCCTTGATTGTGATGTTGTTCAATGCTTGATAGTCCACACATAACCGTAGGGAGCCGTCTTTCTTTGGTACGAAAAGCACCGGACTTCCTGCTGGTGATGTGGATGGTCTGATGAATCCTTTCGCTAGGTTATCATCGACGTACTCCTTAAGTACCTTCAGCTCCTTTTCCGATAGCTGATATATTGGTCCGAACGGTGGACTCTTGTCTTTCTCCAAAGGTATCTCGTGATCCCATGGTTGGTGCTTAGGAAGCGCCTCGTTCTTAGGGCCTTCCTGGAATAATTGCTCGTATTCCTTGTACTCCACCGGTATACTCGTCGGTGAGGATGCCTGGGCTAGGTCATCGAGCTCGGAGGTTGCACATAACTCCTTCCGGCCCTGGGAGGGTTTCTCCCGTTGTCGTGTGTCCGTCCGTTGTTCACACGCGCACTGGCTCATCACAACTTTCTCGTTCCACCAGTCGATCTGGGGGTTGTGTTTCTTGAGCCATGGCACACCAAGGATGCACGCATGGTTGTCCATGTGCACGATGTCAAACTGAATCGTTTCCTTGTGCCCGTGTAGCATGACCATTTCCAATGGGACCGTTTCGTGGGTCACCATTCCTTCATTAGTCGAGATGGGCTCTCCATCTACGACCATTAATGGGTATGGTTCGGTTTTCAATTGCGTCTTGAAACCTTGCGTGTCTGCTACTTTCTTTGTCATAAAGTTGCCCGTCGCTCCTGAGTCAATCATTGCTCGGAGGTGTCGCTGTTGTATCTTAGCGACCACATATAGTTGCATGCCGCCCGTCGTGGCGCATAGCTGGTCTGTACTAGGCCTCTTCGTGTCGCTCGCCGGTGGCCTACCGTCGAGGACTCCTAGTTTTTTGACTCGTCCGAGGAAGGATAGTATTCATCCGCTTCCAATGGTGGTCCTTGGGGAGATCGTTTCCCTCGCTCTTCTGCTTCATCTAGCAGATGTGGGTATTTCTCGTATACCTGTTCGCTTTTGATAGGCAAGTCCCCTTCAGACTGGCTTCGCCTGAGGGCGTGAACTTGCTCTGCGTCTCTGAAGTGTATCCTGGGCGAGGATCGGGGAAACAACTGATTCTGGTGTTTCTTTTTCCAGTGGAGCTTGCAGTCATCTTCGCTGCAATACTCCCAGTAGACATACGCGTGCCAGGGATGATCAGTCTCTGTTGTGTCTGTCGTTGATAGTTCCCGCTGTCCTCTCACCCATGCACTATCTTCCCTCGGAGGCGTGGAGAACGTGTCTAGTTGCTCCATGGCTCTCCTTTCGATGCGTGGAGTGGGTCTCGCATTTTCCCGTCGGAGCATATCTCTGGCTTTCTCGTCGTACTTCTTCAGGGCTTTCCTGCGGTCCTGGTAGTAAAGTTCGACGCTTTTCATATACTTCAGTTTAGCCATATGCTCGACATCCTTCTCCAGTTCTTCCGCTTCTTGGGCTTCCAACTTAGCTACGTCTTGGGACGTGCCAAGCAGCCTGCGGGTATTCGTTAGTTGGTCGTAGTATCTCCAGAGGTCATCCTTGCAGTTGTCCACCTTGCACTTTAACGGAAGTTCCTGTAACAGGTTCCCGTAGAGGTCTTTAAGCATGGGGATTCTCCTCTGGCCATTGGGCTTGTCTCGTTCGGCCCTAATCTTCGCGTGGGCGTGTTTTGCCATGCGTCTTACTACGCTCTTGCACCGTGGACTCATTGGTTCCATAGGTGCGAGTTCATTGAAGGTCTCCTGTTCCGAGACGGTGAACGATTCCGCCTCCGACCCTTCGTCTGAGCTCTCGTCTTCTGGGGTGCTTTCGCCGTTTATTCCCCAGTCCTGTTTGCTCACAAACGTTGCGTTCAACTGTCCTGTCCAGGTGGCATTGAGTTGTTTGCCGACTTTGCGTCCGCCGTTCCCTTTCTTTGGCTGTCTGCAGTCTCGGGCCATGTGGCCTGGCTTGTCGCAGTTAAAACAGAGTCGTTCCTTGAATTGTCTGTCTTTCTTAGGGTCACGGGGTCGTCCAGGTTTGAACGTGGCATCGAGTTCCATTGGGTCCGACCAACGGTTGTCTCGCGGGTGTTGATCCCGTCGTCTGCCCTCGTTTCCCCGGTAGGGGTAACTTTTCTTGGGCTTGTCATAGGTCCGACGTTCCTTCTGGAATTCGTATAGTCGATTGTCGATTCGGACCGTATGTTCGATTAGCGCTACCATGTCTGTTGGTTGTTGTTCCAAATGGGCAAGTTCCATACGTATATGGCTCTTCAGCCCACGTCGGTAGTGGCTGATGAGTGCGCTGGCGTCCCATCCTGTCTGATTGCCGTATCTCTGGAATTCTGTGGAGTATGTGAGGGCGCTGCCAGTCTGCTTAAGTGCAAACAGATGGTCTTCTGCGGTCTTAATCTCATCGATGTCTCCGAACATGCGTCGGATTTCCTTACAGAATCCATTCCAGCTGCCAAACATAGTCTGCGTAGTTGTCATGCTTCCATTGGTACTTTCATATTTGAAATAGTCCTTGAGGAATGGTTCGATCCATCGCAGGGCTTCCCCCCTAAGGTAGGACGCAGTCCACAGGGCATAGCTCTCCTGGGTGGGAAACTTCTCATCATTGAAGTGCTGGTACAGTTCGACCTGTAGCAAAAACACCTCAAGTTCCTTTCGGTTGCCGGAGTAAGTGTCGGGCAACTTGACGCGTAGAGTTTCCTTGAGTTCGTTGACGGTGGGTGCATCGGGCATCTCTTCATTCTCAGGCTTAGACCTCTGAGACGAAGTTGGCGTGGTGGGGGTTTTCCCCTTCGAACTGACGACAGACATGTTGCTTTGTGTGTAAGCCGGTACCTCGTAGAAGTGGTGCTCAAAGTGTAATGCTGACTTCTAAACGATAGAAGACACAGAGGTTCTCTTGCGTAAAGGTTTACTTATCAGAGGAGGCAGGGGATCAGACACAAAGGCTTCAAGTAACACGTTACTAGTATATAACAAATACTGTATTGAGTTGAGCACGAAGCTCCTATCTAAGGAAATACTATCTACTTATATAGTGGCGTCGTGCCTAGTGGACTCTTGGGAACTCACTCGAGTCCTCGGAGTCCTGGACTCTTAGGACTCTTCTCATCATCCTGCGAGTCCGTCACGTGATACTTTCGGAACTACTATTCCCCGCTGCCCCTCCAGGTACCAGGGCCGGTCTCATGCGACCTCCCTCCTTCTTGTCCTGTAGTTGGCCAGCCTTCTTGTTCCGTCGTAACAGTACTATACCTCTAATTTGCTAGCTAGCTCATTCAGAGAATAGTAGGTAAGGCTCTAGCTCTATCAGAGACCAAGTATGATGCCAGAGGGGTTGCGTACCAGATATAGTACCGAGGACCAAACGATTCAACTATACTTGTCCGTTCCTCAACCCAAGTTGGATGACCCTCTCCTACTCGAAGATCTTCTCGAGGAACAATACTTCGGTTAGGGCACGGTTACCGGATTTAGATGCGAATCCTGCAGCTCTCCCATGAGCACATGCTCCCTTTTCAGCGTTTTTGGCATGAATAATATTGTTATCATTTTTGTTGAAGGAGGAGGTTGCTCAGACTGATTGGTTGGGCGTGTGGCTCGCCAGCCAACCGAACCGAGTTGCGGACCACCCACAAATAGTTCTGTAGATAGCTTCACTCAGAATAAAAAATAATACAACACATATTCCAGTGAACTGTTGTTCAACTCAACTTGATGACTTATACTACCGCTGCAAGTGATATCATACACTTCAACAACTTTAAAGCGATTTTTGACGTACCCTTCTTGGCCGACCATGAAAGAATAATAGTAGGATTTTGATCCCGCTCCAGTCATTTACGCTGAATGATAGGCTCGCATCCGGACGTGTCTGCCAACAGAAGTTTTGTGTTCACACGATAATATACCACATTGGAGAAGGTGCGGATTCTGGTCATTACACTAGAGAGGTTCGGGAAGACCTCGGTGGGGAGGTAGGTGTGCAAAGATGACTCGCGCTTGGGTCCAATCGGAATTTACAAGGATGGAGACGCTATAATGTAAGTTGATTGATAATATTAGGGGCCAAGCTGTACTAACATATCTAAGTCCACATGATATTGTGCTCTGCTACCCCCATCGAAGGCGATTTGGGGAGTACGTATTGAAATCCCATCCTTAATCATCCACGCTCCCCTAAACTCTCACCCACCACTCAACCAGGACTTAGAATAACACGTTCGTGATGATTAAGTTTACCTAGATATACCTTAGAGCGTCGCTGCCTCTATCCCAACTCCATCTATCACCTTCTCAAATGCTCTCCACCTCTCCCCCATCCACCCCCTTCCACTCCACCCCCTCCCCCGCAACCGTCTCCCCCCCTCCATACCACAGCCTCCCCTCCCTAAGCACCAACTCCTGATCAACCACCCACTCCAGCCCATCCTCCCCCCAATACGTCTCCTCAAGCCACTCATTAATCTTCTCAATCCCCTCCACCCACCTCTCCATGTTCTGCCTACTATCATGATCCTCCGCATAAATAAACCTCCCCAGCGTCGCATGCGCACTAGGAACCACATACCTACTCCCCACCTCCACGCCCGTGCCGGATGTCAAGGTGAACAAGTCGCGCCGCAGGTGGTGGTAGGAGTATTTCCCATACACGATGGGGACGAAACTCAGTGCCACGGCTGCGGCGTCGAAGGAGACGAGCGGCTTGATGAGGCGGCTGGGCTTTTTGGCGGGGGCGGAGATGATGGTCGGGATGACGGGGCTGAGGGCCTTGACGAGGGGGGGTATGGCAGAGGGCGGGCGCGAGTGCGTGATTTCTAAAAGGGTGGTGTGCATGTTCTCGGGAGGCATGAGCCAGATGCCTGGGGGGTGTGAGTGGATAGTGCTATGGGGGTGAGGGGAGGTACGTACGAGGTGAGATTTCCTTGAGTTTGGCTTGGATGGTGGCGGCGAGGGTGCGGACGTGGGGGGGGGGACGACCCCAGAAGACGAGGCTGTTGCGGGGGTCGACGTAGCCTGGGGAGACGGTGGGGTCGACGCGGCGCAGGAGGATGCCGTCGAGGATTAGGCCTGGGAAGGTTGGGGAGAGGAGGTTTGCTTTTTGTTGGGCGTTGCGGGTTTGGCGGTGGTTGGAGTACTTTTCTTGGAGGAGGGCCTGGGGGGTGTTAGTGAGGGCATATTATGAGGGATGGAAGCTGAGTATAGAATAGAGAAGATGCGACCTGGAAAAACTCGAGTATTACACAAAAAGTGATCTAACAATAGAAATTCGATTGGAAGCCATGATCCAAAGATAGACGAGGGGCAATATATGCGGGGTAACGTGGGGAAATATCAACGAACCGGATCATCATTGCAAGCCTCAATTAGTGCATCATACGGATTCGAAAAGGCCGAGCCGTCCACTCCGGATAGGTCGACAAAGCTATTCTTTGCATCTGCGGATTCTAAGAGAACTGAAGCCATGTTGGACCTGTGATGTAGAAAAGACGGGGTTGTCCGGCTTCAGGGTAATTTTCCAGAGGGTGAGGTTTGAATAGGGAAAAGAAACTGTATAACTGGGCGTGCCAGGACTATTAAATAGAAAAAGTGATTCTCGAAACCCTCAAGTCTAATTTAAGAGACCGAAGTACTGCCTCCATTATGGTAAATTAATAGGGACTGCCATGAGCACTGCCACCATAATCTCTTCGGTTAAGAGGGGAAGCCAATTCGCGAGCACGAAGCTCGGTTCTAATCCGACGACAGAACATGGACCTGGGGAACATGGAACGCTATTTTTGCACAGAAAGGTGGAGACTTCATGGGCTAAAAAAATAGCAAACAAAAACAAAATATACGGTTGTATAATGAGGTATTGAACCACACCCGATTTGAACGGATAACCTTTCGCTCTGGAGGCGAACGCGCTACCGTTGCGCCAGCAGTCCCGGTAAGTTGAAGGTGTGAGCTAACAAAGCCTGATATAGCGTCAGAACCTCGGCGTGATTTACGCCGCTATGTGACTCGGCGGGGAACAGATTCCCGAACTCCATCAGGGGAAGTTGTACGAAAGCTCGAGGCAGCGAGGTCTTGATAGGAGGGGGGTACAGACGAGATAGTGCTCCTGATTATATCAGAATCTTCATGCGGCCCTCTGGCAGCCAATATTCTCTTCATCCACACGTCTTGCCCAGTCGAGAGGCGAAAATGTGTCGCCTAAATAATAAGGGTACCAAAACCCCTTTCGGCACGGCACGGACCAGGTCGCGTCGCGTCTCCCACCAATCAATGGAAATTGCACCCCTGACCGTGTTCTTGTTATTGAACCACGTTTGGTCAACCTTTTCAATTCCTTTTTCGGCAGTTCAAATTCCTCCCTCTTTCCCCATAACAAAGGTAAGAGATCTTTCTTTATCCCCGCTGTGGCAACCCTTCGGGGTCCCGCGGGATACCATGCCAATTGTCAGGTTCTTTTTATACTGACAGATGTGGATAGTTCAAGATACCAATTTGCTTCTTCCTCGGCGACCGTCTGTGTAGCTTGTAGCTTTCTGTATTATAACAGTTGAACCTCTTGCTCTGCTGCTTGCCATTTGCTTTGTACTGGCTCTTCATTGGACTCGGTGAGCCCCCTCTTGTCGATGCGCCCAATAACCACAAATCAAGGCCGCTGTGGCCCGGCCGCATTTCAATGTCACCAGATCATTTTGGGAGAATATGCTAACTTATCTGGAAAGACACCCGCATATGAGACCGTCGACATAACTGGCTCGACACGCCGGCCTCCATTCCCATACTCAGCGACACAACTGCTCGAATAATGCCTCGACTACAAGCCAGATCCCGCAATGTCGTGACCTCGGACTCAGAAGACGATTTGATTGTGAATCCTCCGCCACGAAGACAAATTTGGTCCGTCATCAGCAGCCCGAAGAAGCCACTGAGCCTGTCCCAGGAGAACTCAACCCCTGCTCAGGATGGCGAAGCAGATGACGAAGACGACGAGATAGATGTCTTGACAACCCAATCAAGCGTCCGCAACGCAAGGGCAAATGCGAGGACCCCAAAATCGAGGGGTATTTCAGCTCCTAAAACGCCCCTGGGAAGCTCACAGCGCAATGCCGGTAATAGGCAGACCCCGAGCAAGAGTCAGACCGCTGGGAACAGCTCTCAAGCAGCAACACGGCTAGATGCTGATGTTTCTGACTCCGAGTTGATTGTGCCTGGTTTCCCAGAGGGGAGAAGGTGGCTTCACAGCGTGCGAGGTATGTATAGTGTGATTGTTTGATTTGCTCTGTTGTCTCTGGTCAGCGTATATTCTTGTCCACGGTTCATGTTACTACACCTGATGGTGGCAAATCTTGGATTTATATGGTTCACAAGTGTGTATCTATTGGTCCATGGTTGTTCTGGCAGGCCAACCATGTGGTAGTGTGTGAGGAGGTGCATGGGTAGTCCCCAAGTTTCCGTCACTGCTGGTCAATAGGTAGTGCTTTGAAGGGCAGAAGAGTTTGGCCGTTGTGAGAAATTCCCCGTTCTTGAGGGTGCCCCTGGCTCTCAAATTCATGCAATGGAAACAATTTGGCACCGTCAATCATGGGCATACTCGTGCATGATATACATGCCAAAACAGTTGTCCAAGGGACTGCTTTGGAATAGCCGTGACTTGTGATCCCATGGGTGTTCCCTGTCCAAGCTGAGTTGAGGGAAGCGTGACAAAAAGCCGTATTGGCGGACGTCGCTAACTTACTATTCACTTCCTTTGTGGCTATTTCGGCAACCAACTTACCCATTCATCCTTCAAAATTTCTTGCTTCGTCCACCCTTCCTTCACACTCTTTTCAACCCAACACCTTGTTCCATTACACTCTTTTCAATCTTTCATTTTGCTTTATTACACTCTTTTCGATACTGCATCTTGCTCCATTACTCTCTTTTCAATCCAACACCTTGCTCGTACGCTCTTTTCAATCCAGCATCTTGCTCCACACTCTTTCAATCCAACACCTCGGCCCTACGGCCAATTACTTTTTTCCCAATCGTAACAACAATGCTCGTATGGATCCTGAAGCTTTGTGGAATTCTTACTGACATGCTACACAGTGCCTGTGAGGACACCCAGCAAGCAATCCGCCATATCTGATTTCTTCAAACCACACTCGCTTTTGCAGAAGAAACCCGCTGCACCCACCGTTGCTCCCGCAGTCCCTACTGCCATAGCTTCTGATAGCTCACCTTCCAATCCACCAAGTGACGACGATCCTGACGATGCCCAATTGAGCTCTCCTGTTGCTATATCTCCTTTGGCTTCTCGCTCACCCAGCCCAAGTGGGTCATCTGCCATGGCAAACGGTCGGCCTGGCAGAGCTGCAGCTATAAAAGGTAGGTTATTGTCACGCGTCCTCACCGCCCGTAAGGATGTAGACACAGACGAAGCAAGTGATGTGTCCGACTTTGCTGTTAGCAACGAGTCGTCCCTAGGAGGGTCATCATCGCACGTGGAGAGTGATGAATCCTCGGCATCACCAACTGGAGAGTCTTCCGGGGCTGATAGCGGACTTGGCTCCGACCCACCACCAAAGAGGAGAAAGCGACTCACAGATGCGTCACCACCATTGGCAAAATCAGCTCGTAAGTACTCTTTCTGTTCCGGCATCTTTGTCTCTCAACTTACTTTACTAGCCAAACAAGTCATCAGAAAGAGGCGTGTCGAGAACAAGGATACTACCTTCAAAGGGGCCGATAGAGTGCTTTTTCCTGAGTTGAACAATATCAAGAACGATGACGACAATGAGGATGGAGATGCGATGGAGGGCGTTCAGACAGAGGCCTCGTCTGACACATCGAAGCGCGCCAAAGCGCCCAAGAAGAAGCCTACGGGGACGCAAGTGATCAAGCCGGAGACATATGTCTACAAGAATGGTCTTGCACTGCACGAAAAGCCGATCTCCAAAATCGAGGATATTTTTGCCGACATGACTGATCGGGCTTTGACAAAGATGAGCAAGAGTAAAGATGACAAGACCTTTCTTGACTTCCTTGAGCACATGAATGGTAGAAAGCTTCGTGTTGCCACCATGTGTTCCGGCACAGAGAGCCCAATTCTGGCCCTAAACCTTGTCTCCGAAGCCCTCAAATCTCGCGGCCACAACTTTGAGATTGACCACAAGTTCAGTGCGGAAATCGTACCATTCAAACAAGCCTATATCGAGCGCAACTTTTCTCCCCCAATCATTTTCCGTGATATCAAGGAATTGTCCATCCCTGGAGCGGTCGATGCCACAACCGCATATGGGAGTAAGGCGAAGATCCCCGACAATATCGACATCCTGATCACAGGATTCTCCTGCGTCGATTTCTCTGGCCTCAATTCTACAAAAAGAGTCATTGAGGAGTGTGGTGAATCTGGCGACACATTCTTCGCGATGCGTGATTATGCCAGAATCTTCCGTCCAAAGATCATTATCTTGGAGAATGTTATGGGAGCTCCATGGCTGAGAATCAGTGACTACATGGCGGCGATTGGGTATGCTTGCAAGCATCATTTTGTGGACACAAAGAACTACTACGTTCCGCACACCCGCCAACGTGGATACATGATGTGTATTGATATGTACGATAAAGTGAAGAATGATAAGCGTACCAACACCGAGAAGAAACTTGTCAAAGACTTGGAATTTGGAGAGTACATGAAAAAGTTCGGTCAGAATGCCATCGAGACATACAGCCGCAGGATGGATTTTTTCAAACGCCCAGCCAGCTCATCAGTTGAAGCGTTCCTCCTCGATGAGGATGACCCACGTGTCATCGCCGGTCGCGCAGAGATGACGAAGGGAAACGCCGTCGAAGGCCGAAAGAGAGTCGTCGACTGGACCCGTTGCCAGGGCCGCCACGAAGATTACCGCTTCCGCATGGGGCTTGGGGCGAGACGCTATTTGACGAACTGGGAAGACGGAGGTTCCTGCACCCCGAGAGACAACTGGTGGCACGACTGGTGGAAGGCACAAGTCGAGCGTATCTGGGATCACATGGAGATGTCGTATTTGCGAGCCATGGTCAGGGGATACGATCTCGAATACAAGTTCCGCATCATCGACTTCTCGCAGAATATCGATCGATCTTTGGATACGGGAGGTTCTGGCCTCACAGGATGTGTTACACCAACTGGTATCCCGTACAGTTCTATGCGTGGAGGCCCGCTGATCGGTATCGAGGCACTCGCGTTGCAAGGTTTGCCTGTCGATTCATTGATTCTGACGCGCGAGTCTCAGGCGAAGCTTCAAGATTTGGCTGGAAATGCTATGAGTTCCACCGTCGTCGGAGCCGCTATTCTCTCAGCTCTGATCGCCAGATTCGATGTGTTTGAGCGTGGAGATGGCATCCAGGAGGCAAACCCAGCGCCGGAAATTACCCAGACTATCGATGACCCCAAGGCCGACTCTTTCACGACGAGATTCGATGCCCATGTCCCGCTTTCCGCTGCTGCTGCCATCAATGCTGCCAACCAAAGCTACCGCGCTTGTTACTGTGAAGGCCGCGCTGGCGTCACTGTTGCCGCCCTTCAGAAATGCAAGGCCTGCGGCCACACTACTTGCATCAAGTGTGGCGTTTCTCCTAAGCATGACTATGCCAAGTTCTCGCCGGATAGGATTGCACCTTCCGAATTCGAGCAGCAGTTAAAGAATACTCTGCCTATGAAGGTTCTACTTGCGGGCATATCAATTGATGATATAATTAAGGCTCGTGAGGATAGCGGTGTCTCGTTCAGCACCGCCGATAAAAAGGCGTTCGAGCTCTCCATGGATCATGTTGCACAGGCTTTAGAGTCCGAATTACGATTCCACTCGCTGAAGAGAACCGAAACCTGGGTTATCTCGTACGAATCAACCTACTCTCGCCTGGACCTTATCTTCTTTTTAAGATATGCGGAATGGCGTTTATATGCCAAACCTGACGTTGATCTACCTGCCAACGACGCTCTCCGCGAGGCTCTGCAATATCCAATCGCCCGCATGCGCCCTACCGGAGACGACCTTGTCACCGGACAGTGGCAGATCTGGATCCCAAAGGCATACAAGTTCAATGCGTCAGTCGAAGGTCTCGGTGTTCCTGTGCCATCATTCCACAATGTTCTTGGCATTGCAGCGGCGGCCGATTCGTTCGTATTCCCGCAATATGAGATTACTATGCCTGTTGATGCCGAGGACTATCTTGAAGTTGACCTCAGCGGCGTCTATACACTTCAAGAAGACTGCGGTATGTCTCAAGGCTCTCTCCACGTGAACGTGAATGCCGCCGATCCTGAAAAGCGAACCTTCCTCTTCCATGACCCGGATCGTCTTGGTAACCATGAGGATGACACTTTTGTGTTTTCCGAGGACAAGAGACGCCTGCAGCATGGAGTAGTCCGATCTCTCTTTGCTCGTGTTGACAAGAAATGGCGACAGACCAAGTTTGAGATGTCACTTGATGGAGATGTTGAGGTCATCAAGAAGGGCAACAAAAAGTTGAGCCTGTCCCAGGCCCGTCAGTTGGATCCGATGACTTGCTACGTGGATGGCCAGTGGCTTGACATTGAAAATGCCAGCTTAGACCTCGCCCATGGCACAGCCAACGGCCAGTTCAGCCGTGCTGCTGAGAACTTTTCCATCATCACATCCCTCAATGATTGCCGCGAGGCTCACGTTGTGCTGCAATGTGAAGCTGCTCTTCCCGAGGGAGAGTTCTCCAAATATCGAAAGGATCATTGGCTTGAGATTGGTGAACTGGAGCAGAAGCAGTTTTTCTCTGAGTATGCCTGGCTCACTGAAAAAGCTCGAACCATTCCCGGCCTCGACACTTGGCGCGAGATTGAGAACCAACTCGCCACTCACAGATGTGCTACGTGCGCTCCAGCAATTCCGAATATGAAGTGGAGACTTGACGAGAAGAGGAAGATTGTGCCATTCGAGGATCCCACTGAAGCTGCCCCATTCGAGATTGCCATGAAAGGCCGACCTTCGCCTCTTGTCACGCAAGTTTGCATTGATGACGCTGGCATTGTCGACTTGAAGCTGGCAGTCAACCCGCAGACTCTTATTCATAGAGCTGCAGCCAAATTGCTTGGTGATGATGCGACGAGTGCTACGCTGCAATGGCGCCTCGTCACCAATTATGTTGCTCCACAAAAGATGGTTTTCCCGGCTTTTGCTTTGAAGAACAATGACGCCGATACGCCTTCGTCGAACCCGCCTCGATTCAAATTTACTCTTCGCCCTGAACAGCAGAGGTCTCTGTACTGGATGGTTCAGCAGGAGGGAGCAAATGTCGAGCCCTTCGTTGAGGAAGAAGTTGAGGAGGCCAGTATCCCACTTCTGGGCTGGCGCGCTGAAGGTCGGGCATCCAGACCGAAGGTCATTCGTGGAGGTGTACTTGCGGATCAAGTTGGTTACGGGAAAACTGTTACTACCCTGGGACTCATCGACATGCAGCGAACCTCAGATGAGAAGTCATGCAAGGAGGACGTTCATGGCTTGATTCCAATCAAGGCAACTCTCATTCTTGTCCCTTCGCAACTTCCCGACCAGTGGTATAGCGAGGTTAGGAAGTTCTTGCCGGGCAGTTACAAAGTAACAGTCTTGAAGTCACTTGCATCCGTTGATAAGTATAGCGTGGAGGACTTCCAACAAGCCGACATTATCATCGCATCCTGGTCTATCTGTGAAGGGGACAACTACCTGTTCAAGCTCGCCCAATTTGCCGGTGTCCTCGAGTTGCCTGAGAAAGCACCTGCCAGAGCACAGTCTGCCTGGTACACCAACGCGATGACAAAGGTGGCTGAGAATGTGGAGGTCCTGAAGTCGAAACCTTCGTCTTTGAAGAAGCATATTGACTCCCAGCTTACCGACGAGGGGAAATCGGCCACTGATGTGGAGGCTTACGTTCCGTCGAAGCGCCTTCGAGGACAGGCATATCAGGATTACAAGGAGAGGCTTCAACTCCAGAAGACGCGACTGGAAACCGCTACAGATCTGTTCGGTCAGGATGCATTGAAGGTTGATGTGAAAACAGACAAGAAGCCCGAGACCAAGAAAGAATTCACCGTCAAGCCCCGAAAGGACATATTTGGCCTTACCAAGTTGACCAAGACCAACAATTATAAGGGCATGAGGAGTCCGATATTCGAGATTTTCAGGTTCAGCCGTGTCGTTGTAGACGAGTATGCCTATGTTGCTGGTGAAGAGAGTTTGACGATTGCCAACCTCAAGGCTGCCGCCAAATGGGTTCTTTCGGGAACTCCCCCACTTCAAGATTTCCTGGACGTCAAGTGCATGTCGAGGTTCCTTGGTATTAACCTGGGTATCGACGACTTCACCACCGGAGTGATGAATGCCCAGAATATCAAGACGATGACGAGAAATATGACATCTAGCGAAGAATTCCGCACCTTCAACCAGAAGCAATCCTTTGCTTGGCACGAGAACCGCCACAAGCTTGCGCAGCGCTTCCTGGACAAGTTTGTCCGCCAGAATATCGCTGATATCGAGGCAATCAATGGCTCTGTGCATATCATGCCGGCCATCCTCCCAGCTGCCGAGCGCGCGATTTACCTTGAGCTTCAGCAACTGCTTGCTGCTTCCGATTTCAAGATGACGAAGGGGAAGAGAGCTATGGAGAATGACCGTATGAAGCGCATTCGCGAGCTGTTGGGTCAGAGCGACAGTGTTGGGGAAGCACTCATGAAGTGCGCCTCCCACTTTACGCTTGACGAGCTGCACGATGGCCTCAACAATGCGCCCGACGCGTGCGCTGTCATTGTCGGGATTAGAAATAAACAACTCGATGCCTTGGAGATTGATTTGAACAGGACTCTGAGACAGGCCGAATACCTCCATCTGAGCTGTGAGGATCCTTGCGATCAATACATCAGCTTGAAGCGCCAGGTCGAGTCAAACCATTACGGCGATGTTGACGCATGCAATGCGATTTCTATGGCTATGAAGGAGGCCGCCAAGCGTAGCTCCCACGACGACTGGGAAGAGTTTTATATGACTCAGGAGGAGCGTGACATTGTTCTTGCGGCCGAAGGAAGAGCAAAGCCGGGAGCAAAGAAAGCCAAACCAACCAAGAAGCGAAAGCGTGCCGATTCTGAGAGCGACGGCATCTCGTCGGCTGATGCACCGGAGGATACCCAGAAGCTATTGCCATTGCTCCCGTACGGCCGAAATGGCAATATCGAGTACGTACACACGGCGCTGAGAGATGTTACGAATATTCTGCGCAAGATGGTCGTCGAGTATGTGAGCAGGAAGCGCTGCCTGCGCTTTTTCGACTATGTTAGGAATTTGCAGAAGCACTACACCAACCTGAGACTCGGGAATGAGGCCGGTGCAGGCTGCACGTGCTCGAAGTGTGAGAAGACTGGCCTTTCCCCTGAGGAGATTTCGATTCTGTCGCAGTGTGGCCACACTGCCTGTGATGGCTGTCGCGCGAAGCATGAGAAGATGTTCTACAACAATCTGGCCGCCAAGGAAGAGTGTCTTGTCGTCGGATGTAGTGCGATCAACAAGCAATGGCAGGTCATCAAAGCCCCAGAGCTTGGTGTTGAAGATGATTCCACGAGAAAGGGTCGTCATTACGGCAAGAAGATCGAGGATATTATCAGCCTTGTGAAGAATATCCCAGATGCCGAGCAGGTTCTTCTGTTTGTACAGTTTACAGATTTGTTGGACAAGATTGTCGGCGCGTTCAGAGACAAGGGCATCACATACCTTTCACTGGATAGGGGAGATCCGGCCAAAACCCTTACAAAGTTCCAAACCGAGACAGGCAAGGAGAAGTCCAAGGTTCTTATCTTGAACATCGGAGATGCATCTGCAGCTGGAAGGTAAGAATCCCAACTCCCAATTTATTAATAGACAACTAATTCGTCCCAGTAACTTGACCAACGCCAACCACATCATCTTCGTCTCCCCCTATCTCACTGATAGGGAGCAGACCTACAAGGCAGCCATGACTCAAGCTGTTGGTCGTGCACGCCGCTATGGGCAGACGAAGGCAGTGCACACTTACCACTTTCTGTCTCTCAAGACCATCGACGTGGACACATTTGAATCTCGCAACCATGTGATCCTCGACCACGAGAACACGACTCCGCCCGACTACATGCCCTACTCTGGCTTTGCGAAATCGATGCCCATGGACGGGACTCCACAGTCGGAAGGTCTTGGTTCGAAATGGGGTTCGACTGTTGTTACGAAGGGGCTTCTGGCCGAAGAATGAGGTGGATAGAAGGAGTTATTTTTGTTTGAATATAATATTTTGTTTGATTACGACTGTTTTATGGGAGCGGGGTGTTTGTTTGGTATATATACTGCGGAAGCACCGCATGTCAAAGTTAGTGTGTCTGGGGTGTTCAAAGTACTATGCGGAGAGGCTTTTCGCCATGTTTGGGTTCGGGATTATACAATGGGATGGAAATGATTCAACATTTTGTATGGTGTTCAAAACGAAGCAAAGAGGGTAGAATGGATGGATGGATTATACTTGTATAGAGTAGATACCAAATGTTACAATAATACCTGTAAACCTGAGTTCTCCTGGCATGCCTCGCTTTTAAAACACTCTTACACAACACTCACAACTTCCCCCTCTCCCCCCAACTCAACTTCTCTAACCCCCCCCTCAGCACCGTCCCCATCCCATCCCGCGCGGGCCTCCCCGTCCCCCTCTCCACAAAAACATGCACCACCCTCCCCACCGCCTTGATTCCCTCAACGCCCTCCTCCCAAACCCCAACCTCGTACGTGACGCTCGTCCGGCCGAGCTTGTGGACGCGCAGCCGCGTCTCAGCGACGGCGGGGAAGGCGAGCGAGGAGAGGAAGTCGGTGTGCGAGGAGGCGACGAGGCCGTATTGCGCGGAGGTGCGGGGGGATTGGCCGCAGTGCTGGGAGAGGTAGGTGTTGATTACTGAGTCGATGCTGGAGGGGGTTAGCGGGGGCATGGAATTTGGGGAGGAGGGGGAGGCACAGGAAGTTGTAGATTGAGTTGTTGAGGTGGTCATACATGTCGTTATCGCTCCAGCGGGTGCGGTATGTGAGGACGTATGGATAGTCGGAGCGTTTCCGCTGGCGGAGGATGGCTGGGGAGTCCATGGCGGGTGGGTTGAACGGCGGCGGAGGAGGTCAGGATTAGGGGAGTTTATGAGGTGACCCCGTGAGGGTATTTTGTGAGAGAGTTTTATAGAGCAATGGAGAGTATATTTCAGATATTCTAACTTTCCGCAGTCGCAACTGCAAAGTTTATAGAGTCAATTGGGACGGAAATCGCGGCAGCCGAGGTATCACGATCTGGGAAGGGGCATAGCACGCTAAACCAAATACGTCAGATTTATTATTCTGCCCTCTCCCGGCGCCCGACCGGATTATTTTCCTCATCCTTCTGGGGGAAGGCGCCACCAGCAACTCAAGTGCTTTCCTCCAGGTACATCCATATCAACGACCTCTCTTCACGATTCACACCCCCCCACAGAAACCCTGTCGCCCTCACCCCGCATCGCCGCGCTCCTCTACTCCCGCAAACCGGTCCTCGCCCTCGTCCCTGTCCGCCAACAAATCGGCTTGCCGACGCTCATCGAGCAACGCCCGATGGCCGCGCCGCCGGCAGTGGTGGTGACACCCGCCGACCCATGGCCGCGGCCTTATGTGTTTGAGGATGGGCTGCGCAGGGTCGCGCCGTATCACTTCACGTATAATACGAACTGCAAGATGAGGTGGAGGGGGAGGGAGTTGTTGGATATCTTTGAGAGCGAGTTTCGCGATCGGCCTGTGGAGTATTATGTGAGTTACTGATCTTGGGGGGTAGTAGGCAACAGGGAATAGATGAGGAAAGGGCTAATATAGAACAGAAAACTGCGATAGAAACCGGCATGGTCGTCGTCAACGGCAAACCCGCATCGACAACCGACGTCGTTCAGAACGGAGACGTGATCTCGCACACCCTCCACCGACACGAGCCCCCCGTTACAGCAGCCCCCATCACGGTTATAAGTGAAGACGAAGACATGATGGTCATCTGCAAGCCGTCCGGCATCCCCGTCCACCCCGCTGGGCGCTACAACTACAACTCGGTGATCGAGATCCTGGCGGCCTCGCGCCCTGGGTGGAAACCACTACCATGCAACCGCTTGGACAGGCTCACCAGCGGCGTCATGTTCATCGGCAAGCACCCGCGCGCGGCTGAGGAGCTGTCAACACAGATCTCAGGGCGCACAGTGCGCAAGGAGTACGTCGCCCGCGTCGCTGGCAAGTTTCCCGACGGAGACGTCGTGTGCGCCATGCCCATTCTCCAGATCTCGCCGAAGCTGGGCCTGAATCGCGTGCGAGCTAGCGGCAAGCCGGCACGCACGGTATTCCGACGACTCGCGTACTACGGGCCAGAGGAAGGGGCCGAGGAGACAGGAGCAGAGGAGGGGAAGGCAGAGGGCCGGCCGTGGGTGGGCAAGAAGGGGTACTCTATAGTGCGCTGCCTGCCTATCACGGGCCGCACGCATCAGATCCGCGTGCACCTACAGTTTCTGGGGCATCCGATCACGAACGACCCCATCTACAGCAACCAGCGGGTCTGGGGCGCCTCGCTTGGGGCTGGGGACGCGGATGCGATGCAGGCGGACGAGGATGTGATTACACGGCTCGCACGGATGGGGAAGTCCGAGGTAGCGGACGCGGTGGCGTATCACGACGAGATGGTGGACGATTATAACAAGCGTAAGGCGGAGAAGATGTCAGGGGAGCTGTGCGAGGTGTGCTCGACGCCGCTCTATACGGATCCAGCGGCGCGGGAGATGGGGATTTACCTGCACTCGCTGCGGTATGAGGACAAGGACCTCAAGTGGAGCTATAGGAGCGAGCTACCTGAGTGGGCGCTGCCGCCGGGCGGGGTGGAGGGGCCGCGGGAGGTGGGTGGGCTAGACGAGGTGGTTGATCTAGGCAGGCTGAGGGAGCTAGAGGAAGGGGAGGAGGAGGTGGCGGGGGGGGAGCGGAAGGAGGAGCACGAGCGTAAAATGGCGAGGCGGAAGGGCAAGAAGGGCGTGCAGTGCGAGTGGGAGGGCGGAGTTTCGGTTGAGACTGTAACAGTGCCTGTTACGCTGGTTGGCGAAGGCGAATCGACGAGCGCTCCACCTGCTGCTGCTGCTGTTGTTGCTTCTGCTGCTGTTGCAGTAGCAGGGCGTAGCACGTGACCATTTGAGACTTCATAAACGCCACGGAAGAGACCCAAACCGCATGCGCACACACGTGCATGCGAGATTGCAATGGGCAATCACAGTCCAAGGCGATATACGTACATAGCCAGCGTTACACGACGCCTTTGTGGTACTGGAGGCACCGGGAGGATTGTGTCACCATCCGTAGATATCTCCGGAGAAGCGCTCAGCCAATGAGCAGAGCATATATAGATCAAGGCGCTCAGCTTCCAGCTACCCCACCATCGGACACCCTCCCCCTTGCTGCATGGTGACTGTCGGTGGTCTCGGCGTGCCCAGGCTCTACTGGACGAAGTACTTTGTGCGTAGCGGCGGCGATGGCAGACGCGCACGAGAGGCAGATCGCCGCCGGATGCCCCGTCCCGTCCCGACGTTCGTTATCGCGACCTTACTGGATGGGCGCTGGGGGGGCGGGCGAGAGTGGCGACGGCATGCGCGGCAGGGGTTCAGGTGAAAGGTTTGGTCGCGTCGCGGGTGGGTGATGGGGGAGCGCTGGTGACTGGACGATGGGCGAGGGACGGAGGAAGGTTGGAGCGGCTTACTGGGTGCGGTTAGTGATGTGTTGAGGGTGGTTTATGGTCATCTACGGTGATGTACACAGTATGGTGGTGTGTGGGGTGGGTCATGATGTGGATGGTAATGTGGATGGTGATGTGGATGGTGATGTTGATGGTGGGCAATATGCAGGCGCGGCTCGATCTGTGGTGGTGGTGTTTCGAGTTGCTGGGGGAATGGTATGTGCTCCGCCGTGGCCTTGGTTTTAGAGTGGAAATGTGGTGTGGATGTGTGGAGGAGAGTGAGGGGGTTAGGGGGGTTAGGGGGGTAAGGGGGGTTGGCCGGTTTGAGACATATTTGGGGATGGTGGAGATGGTGGAGATGGGATATGGGTACAGGATGGAGGATGGAGGATGGAGGATGGAGAAGAGAATGGGCTTTTCTCGATGTGCTCGAATGAGTGCGTGCCGTTCTATTTCTCCATCTAGCCACGGTTTCTTTTTCAAGATTCTGATTCCGCGGATACATACTCTAGATGGAAGGTGAGGGCGGGGAGATGGTGAGTGGGACTTATAGTACGTATGATAATACTATTCTGTTGGATCGTTGGCGCTTGTATGGTACAATACAGATACAGCACACACAGAACAGTGATGTTGGATATTTAAGACTCTTTCTGTTTGATCTGAGAGTAGTTTGTCTCGTCTGTCTCGTCTTATATCTGAAGTATTATTTATACCCGCCATAGTTGAGTATCGGACAGTACAGTAGGAGTAGAATGCTAGACAGTTCATGCCAGAAGCTAGAACCGGTGGAGGTTGACGACGAGGTTGGGCGTTTATTGTTGGTGGTAGGGGTTGGGGGGGGGGGTTAGGGGGGGGGTTGGAGATGGATGGGGAAAGGAGGAGAATTAAAGTACCCGCGACTTGTTGTTCTAGTTTCCGTGGCGCGTGTCCACATACAAACTTGGCAACGTCGACGTGTACAAGTTACAAAGCTTCCCAGGCATCCCAAGGATTTCCCAAGGAATCCTAAGATCTATCCCCTCGTCTCTGCCGTCTTAGTCTACCAACTACGTAATAATGCATACGCTTCTTTTACTCCTTCTTTCCATTCCTCCGGGAGTACTGTACATACCAGTGGGTAGGAATTATAGAATAGATCTTTCATATCAATCATATCAATCGGATCCGTGAGCTGCATCATCAGACTCTTCCTGCCCGTGCCAACATTTTTGTCATAGCCGACATTCTTGCTGTATCGGACTCTTGCCGTGCCAACAATTCTTGGCAAGATGCTCCATCATCTTGCCGCTCACCTTGCCGCTTCGTCACCTTGCCGCTTCGTCACCGTGCTATATTGCTGGTTGGGAGTCCCGTATCATCGTCATCATCCATCCGTCACTACTACACTACCTCGCCCATTTACCAATTCCTGGACATCCCTCGCCACACGCCTTGCCGCCGTGACGGTCGTTCAGCTCTCCAGGGCTCGGTATCACGCCCTTGGCATGTCTACTCATATATTCCGAGGGATATCTCGATGAATATCCATCTCAATCGACGTCTCAATGCATAGTTCCGCATCGAGCATCTTAACACTTCGCCACCACGCCCATCCTGCCGTCTCTCGCCACTTTTTGTGGACATCTATTTATTATTCCAGCTGCCCGGTACCGAGCAGGTAAAACATCCACGGCTTCGAGTGCCGGCGCTGTACTTTAATACTCCGTTGGAACTCTCCTATCCTGTCCTAGCCTCGAGCTGAACTGCCGACAGACGATGGACTATTTACATACTGTGGCTCACCGTGGCAATGTCCGTACTTGCCAACCAGGAACCATCAGGAGGCGGCTCGTTCTTTCCTCCAATCTGCACGCTTTACAGGCTTTGTTCTCCCACCTTCCCTCCCTTCCCGTCTGCATCACCATTACCACCGACCAGTAAATCTATCCATCCATCCATCTCTCCACTGATCCTTCCAACCTTCACCTCACCGCTCTCGCTGTCGCTCTTGCTCTCACCGCTCCCATGGCCAGGACTGGCGGCTGACAGCCAACAAACTGACTCACTAACAAATGCCATTTATCTGTTGCATCGACGACAACTCTTGGAAGTTCCCATAATAGCAGATACATATACCCCCCCCAATCACCAACATCGGCGTCTGAGACACCCTGTCCTAGCTTTGTTTTCACAGACACTGCATAGAGCTTCTGCGGGTCAGGTAACTCTTAGGACTCTGCAAGGTGTGCCAGGCGTCTAAGGCGTCCATGCCAATCTCTGATGGATAGATCGACTTCTCCATTTTTGCTGCCCGCATTCTGTGCATTCTCCATTCTGCATCTTTGCATCACAATCTGTGCATTCTCCATTCTGCATCTTGCATCACAATCTGCCCATTATCATTCATTAACCATAATCCGACGATAATATGCATAGGCTACGCACTAGAGAAACGAGCAAGGATGCCTCCTGATGCCCCCTGCACACATCCTAAATACATCCTGCACACACATCTACTATAGTACACTCATTTACACACGTTCTCATCGAAGCTTCAAGATCCTAGTAATAATGCGGCAACAATGGGCATGCCGCTCTCTTCCCAACGAACCAACGGTCCAACTACCCTGAAGTAGATCTTGATCATTCGGGCTCTGCTTTTCCCCTTCTGCCCTGGTTAGGAAGGAATTCCAAATCTAGCACATGTCGTCGCGTACGACACTAACGGCCTAAAACACCCAAATAGTGTGTAAAATGAGACAATATATTCAACAAAATTCGGCGAAATGCCACGCATCTCGAACCTCACCCTCTTACCCTGGCCTCGGGCTGCCACCGAGTCTCCCCGAGATTCTCAAGGACATTGGTGGCGTTGACATGTGGAACTCACCCGCCAAAATGGCTGACCTAGCATAGAACTCCCGCTTCCCCCCCCCACCCCCCCTTCGCGCTTTCCTTCTCCACATCCCTGGTTCCGAGGACTTTTGGTCCCCATTTATCAGGATGCCCATGGCACTAACGATCGGACAAGAGGGCTAACTAAAAGGACGCCCTAGCCTCCCTGTCTAGCTGCTGGTCGAGACTTGCCATCATCATCTTTCCGACAAAAGGTTTTGGCTACTCGAATAACAATATACTATCAGATCCAAACTCAAGATTCTTCATTTTCTTCATCACCATCTCCCTTATATGAGAAACGCAAGATACCAGCGCCAGTTATCATCTTTACTGGCCACTGGCAGTATCAAGCTTTCTATACTCTCCACACCTGCTAGTCTGCCTAGTCCATCTCTTAAATGCGCTACCTCAACCCCGAACGGTCGCCACCCTTCAACGTCACTCACGCCACTATTGCGTCCCCGAACTACAACTATCTCCCTCCTTCCCCCGCACACTCTTTGAATTGCACTGTCGACGACTCACCCATTAACGACAGAATGACCAATGCGAACACACGGCCTAATGGCCGGCCCTCGACTGAGAGCGAGGATGAGCACTGGCAAACGAGAGATCAACCGCGCGGATCGCGGTCTCGGCAACCATCTAATGCCCACCCCCAGGTCAGGCATCGCGGTGAGTGATTTGCCTCTTGGCCCATCCTCCCCGGAACCTTCAAAAACATCACCCTCTAATCCCTCCCAGCCTCACGCGCAGGCACCCGCTCGGTCAACCGCCTCTCCGCCGCCCAGCTCGCGCGCAAGCGTGCTAATGATCGCGACGCGCAGCGTGCCATCCGGCAGCGCACCAAAGACCAGATTGACTCTCTGGAGCAACAGGTGAAGCAGCTTACGGACCCGGAGAAGGAGAGGCGCACATGGATTGTCCACATGCGCAACCGCCAGCTTGAGGACGAAGTCGCCACCCTGCATGAACGCATCAGCGCCATGGAGATGCGGAACACAGGCGCCATGGACTCTGGCGCCCCGCTCGGTGACCCCATGGGTGGCCTTAATCGTAACCTGCGCCCCCATGACCTTAGCATGGAGTGGCCTGGTATGGACATGGCATATGGCGGGGCCCATGACCTCCCTGGAGGCTTCAGCGGCTCAGGCATGGTGCTCCCGCGCGCAGACACGCCAGCTGGGGCGAGTGACATGGCGACGTACGCGCCGTCTGACGGGCTAATCTCACCCTTCCCCCAGACGGAATCTCCGGCAGCCAGCTTCACGGATATGGACCCCGCATCCCGGATCGGCTTTGCCGGTGGCGGCGGCGGCGGCGGCGGCGGCGGCGACGACCTAGGCATCAGCAGCGATCTGGCTTCGCGTCAGTACTTCCTGCAATTCCAACACCTGCACCAGCCAGTGCGCCGGACCTAGACAGATCAGAGAACTGACGAACTGGAACAGCGCAGTCATGGACGACGGTCACATCGCCTTTTGATCTCGAGGACGGATCTATCTTCTCCCCGGCGCCCTCGGCTTACATGTCTCCCTCCGGCATGCCATTCGCTTTCCAGGGCCAACCTGGCCAGACAGGACAACAGATGGCGCCGACGAGCGCGCCAAGTAATATTCCAAGCAGAACTACTTATAATTTAGGGACCGCCCCCTCGGCTCCACAACGACAGCAGCAGCAACACGCACAACCACCCCTCCAAAGCCCACAACCACTTCAACCCGCTCCTCCGCAGCAAATGCTCCAACCCAGCCCCCAACGGCCACTCTCCCAAGCCCCCCTCCACCCATCAACCCACCAACAACCTCCACCCTGGACTCTCACCCCCCGCCTCCTTGCCCCCACAACCCCCCTCGACGCACTCCTCCATCACGCCTTGACCGCCCACCGCGCCTATCTCTCCGCCGCCTCCACTGATCCTCCGAAGCCAATATACACAGACCTATATCCCTCGCCACCCGCGCACCCACCTTTGCCACCCCTATCCGCCGCACTTACCCGCGCCGTCCTCGCTGGTGGGTTCCGTACACCAGCTACTTGTGCTGCGGCGCTGTCGCTCGCGCACTCCGTCGCAAGATGGATGGCACGGCCTACAGAGGGCACGTACGCGGGTGTACCTACGTGGATGCGTCCCAGTCCCCGCGAACTAGGGGGCCTGCCGGCGTGGGCAGCGATGATGGTGCCGTTTGGTAGGGTGAGGGAAAATGCTGTGGCTGGGGGTGAAGGGTTGCTGAGGGACTGGCTTACGGGGGTGGAGTTTGAGTGGGTTGGGGAGGTGTGGGATGGTAAGGGCGGTGTGGTAGAGGGGTTTGAGAATGCGGTTAGGGATATGGGACGGTGGAAGGTTGGGGGACGGGTGGCGGAGATGCTTAAGGAGGGGGGTGGGATGTGAAGCGGGATTTCTTTTTTAAGGGCTAGCGCTATGGGAGCTGGTGTGGTTGGGTGTTTGCTTTTGGTGTTTTGTGCGTGCACGCGAGGGGAGGACGTGGTTTTATGAGTTTATGGGCGGCTTTTTTTTTATGCGATTACGATGACTATGAGGAATGGGATGGGACCATGGGGGCATAAACGGGCCAACAAAAGGATACTGGGGGAAATAGGACGGCGGTGTAAAGGGTATATACATACACATACATGATAGAGCATATATAACACGGGCTTTATATCGGGGTTGGGGAAAGGATGGGGAGGCTAGGAGCTTTTATCAGGTTATATTATTTATTTAATCCTTCTCGAAATTACCGGAAGGAGCGCTATAAAGTATTGTTGATATTTGGAATAACCCAGGCCTAGCACTTGACGGATTACTAGACACGGCTGTGCGTGCTTGACTGTGTGGCAATGATCTGCGCCAGCTGTTCTTTGCTCCATTTTTATCTTAAAAGGGCCCGCAGCCGAGACGCGAGAGTTCCATCTTAGTGGATAGAGTCTCGGGTGAGAGATCTCAGGTGGTATGAGAGGCTCCTCTTGACTCTGATCTGTATTAAGCTACGGCTGATCCGTGATACCCCCGTCCGTGGCGATCGCTCTGGAAATAGATATTACACCTTGGCAGTCTTTCATAATGCGAGCGGTCCGGGTATCGCTCTTCCGTGGAGGTGGAGGATTGTGGCCATCAGCCCGGCCCGGCCTCGGTCTCGGCTTCGGCATCGGCGTCGGTGAAGAGGTGGCCAGTCCACTTTAGGATGTAGTCAGCAGCATGGTGGGTTAGAAGTCCGTAGCCTGGGTTGAAAGCGGGAGCGAACATGTCTGCAGTAGGATTAGTATGTGAGATTTTGTCCTGGACATATTGATAGAAGACTCCTCCGAATGTTGACACTTACTCATATGCGCCGTGACCTCCTCTTTAGCATTATCATTCAGCTCCTCCTTCCACTTCCCTCCTTTAGGTAAATTGCAAAACGTCCTCCCTCCCGCCCCAGTCCCCGGCTCAGCACCCCGTCCCAACTTGGTATATAAATTTACCCATCCCACCTCCGCCCCTGCGCTCACCCCTTCCACCCCCGCAACCCGCGCCTTCAACTCCTCAGGCCTCATAAGGCACCCCACAAACGCCATATGGCTTGTTGCCCAGTTTACCCCCTCCCCGATCTCGCGCCTTTTGGCGTAGGCCGCCGCCCCGCCCGCAGCTAGCACTGCTGCACCTCCAATCACGGCCAGTTTTCCCCATGTCCCCCACCCCGGCGCCTCGTCGTTCTTCTCCTTCGCGCTGCTCTCCGCGGCAGGCAGTTTAAGTGCATCGGCACTCCGCGTTGTTGGGGACTTCGCGCCGCCTGCTGCTGCTGCTGCTGCTGCTGCTCCGCCGCCAAACATTCCTAGTCCAGTTAGTTGCGCTAAAGTACTGGAGGCAGCCTGGTAATGCGCTTCGGCGCCGTAGGCGAGGACGCCGGGGCTGATTCCTAGGTATGGCGTGTCCATGGCGAGGACGCCTCTGATATTAGGGAATAGGTTCGTCGCCGGCGACGGTAGCGTGTTTTTTTCCGATGCGTGGCTCGCCTCGCTAGGCAAGATGGTCTGCTCGCCCGCTATGCCGAGGAGGGCGTCCGCGGCAACGATGCCGCCCATGCTGTGGCCTATGAGGACGATGTGAACACTAGGCGCGACGGAGGGAGAGGGCGTCTCGGCAGCGACTTCGAGGTCGATGACGTGGTCAAGAAGCCAAGTGCGGAAGGAGGCGACGGCTACGGCAAGGTCACCGCGTGTTTCGTAGGCGGGGTAGACGAGGGGAAGGATGGTGGTATTGGGGAGGGAGGGGGAGAGGACGGCGGCGACGTGATCGGGGAAGGAGGCGAAGGTTTTGCCGTCGCCCTATGGGGGTTAGTTGGTGGTGAAGAGTAGGAGGGGGGTGTAGCGGACCTTGAAGCCATGGATAAATACAAGAAGAAGCGTTTTATTCTTCATGGTTGCGTTTACTGTTGGGATTGTGGTTTGGAGATGCCGATCGTACTTTGTGAGGGGAGAAGCTACAGCCTTGTGGATTGCGGGGACCGCCGGGGGAAGCGAGTGTCCCCCGGTAAGCAAGTGTCCCCTCTCAGGGCAAAATAAGTAGGTATCTTCACATAGAAAATTATATAGAAAGGTACTCCGTACTTCTTCTCATTTATTCTACAACGTGAAAACTACACTCTCCTCATCACTTTCATCAGAACCATCATCTCCTACCATATCTACTACCTCTATTTGCCCAACTACACCTTCTGCTTCTGATTGTGCCTTTGCTTGTGCCCGGATCAAGAATGGGAGTCAAGAGCTCAATTGGTATAAACTCTTTTACTCAAAGAAGCCGTGCAACCCCCCTTCTTTCGCTCTCGCTCTCGCTCTCGCTCTCTCTTCCGTGCTTTAATCCCAGCTTGATGTAAAGCCTTCTTTGCTTGTGATGCTTCTGCCTTTGCTATTCTAGCAACTTGCTTCTCTTGCTTGTTAACCTCCTTTTGTGCCTTTTGATGAATCCTAGCATGTGCATGAGCTGCAGTTAAAGCACCCCTAAATTGAAGTTTACGATGGCTTCTGCTTTTGCGATTTTGACTCCCTTGAACTTGTCCTTGTAGCATAGAATAATCAAATTCTCGTATTTGAGCACCTGCTAATACTCCCTCTATCCCCAGTGTTCGGCACGGATCGTGTATGACCTGACTGGTCTGGGTATTACAGGAGCTGTCTTTACCTATATAAGGGATAACGCCTTAGCTAATACTGTTATGCTTGCAGAATATGAGAAAATAGCCAGAGACTAGGAAGTTACAACAAAACAGCCGTGGAAGTTTAGAGTCAAGGAAGGAGACGTATGATGTATAGCCTATATTATTAATATCGCTGTTTAAGACGCTCTTAAGACTTTAAAGGCAGCCCCTACTAAGCAAGCTGAAAGTTATTAGTGTGAGCAAGGAGCTGCGCGGATTCCAGTAAGCTCTGAAAGTAATATCAAAGTTAAGAATACTCTTGGTAAGCTACGAAGACATATCTATGTATTTAGAAATCCAAGGCAATGGAAAGATGCTCTTCAAAAGCTGACTATTGCAGCTGGTCTTAAGAAGCTACAACTATAACTTGATATGCCAGTCTAGTGGAACTTAACGTATGAAATGGTTTCAATGGTCATTAAGATATAGACGCCAATTACAGTGATCTGTGCTACTTAGAAAATGGATCTAAGTATGAGAGATATCGCTCTTACACTAGAGGATTGGATAACGCTCCACACTCTTTAGAATTTCTTCTTTATATTTGTTAATCCATCGCAAAAGCTACAAGCAAGCTTATATCTAATGCTCAACTTCGCAATTCCTCAGTATCTAAAGATGATAAAGAAGCTTAAGGCTTTATAGAAGGAAGTTGGTATATCATCAACGATTGGCCTAGCTTGTATCACTACTCATAAGAAGCTTAATGAGTACTATACGCTTGCTATGAATTAATGATGGAGTCATTTAGGGGTAGCTACAATTTGCGATCCATGTATGAATCCTAACGTATTTAACAGTCTTTGGCCAAGCAGTACTAAAGAAGTCAAACGGAATAGGGTTAAGCAGCAGTTCCACGACGTCTTTATTTAATATAGAGACTGCTAATACTATCTTAAAGAAGAGAAAAGGGAAGCTGAGGCTGATTTACCACAATTACCTACAGAACCTGACTCTAACGACAATTTATATATCTGTAAGGACACAGGGCATCCAGCTCACAGTAATAGCATATGAGAGTGCGAGTCGGAGGCTAAATGGATGCTATCCTATAGGTCTACTACGAAGGATACAAAAAAGATGAAGAGGAACCCCTGTTGGGTCAATCTCCTTAAGTACCCGAAATGGGTCCGACTCGGCTAACCAGCCCTAACTCTCCCCACGTGACTGTAACCTGTTCGACTCTGATCCCTTCTGTCACTGAGGGCAGAGGCATCCTTACAATATCTCTCATAGTATTTACCAAGAACCAGAATGAAAGCGCTGGCTTGTTAAGCCCTAGCTAGGTCTAGCATATTAGGCAGCAAAGCAATATCAATATCCAATTATAGCTGCAATTGCTCAAGACCATTTGGCAATTCCTACAACATCGGCTCCATCAGAACGGGTCTTTAGTCATGGAGCTGATATTCTTACGAAGAAAAGGAACAGGCTCTCTCCTAAAACGCTTCGATATTTACTCTGTTTATGAGATTGGGGTCATATACTAGAGGTTGAAGAAAGTGAAGCTGAAGACGCTAATGATGAGGGGGAAGTCTAGTTATATAAGTTATTTTATCTATTCTATTATTATATTTTAAGCCTCATTATCCTAAAGATCTAGATATAACCTATATCTATCCGTCAGACCTTAGACGGATCATGATCTTACCTATAAGGGCTTAGGATCAGATCTAGATATGATCTGCTAAACACTGTCTATCCCTTGTAATGAAGTATGAAATTGCTGTTTTGACAATGGAGTAAACTTATCTTTCCATACTTGAAGTTGCTTCTCTGAATTCTTTAACATAGGTGTCATACTGACATTCGTTGCACTCAGTTTGCTATCAAACTCAAGAGCAAACTTAGAAATCTCCTCCTCAAACCTACAAGTCACCATACATATCTTGGCTTATCACACCAACAACAGAAGCAATACTACTCAACGATTGCTGTAAACTCTTCTACTACATCTGTTTATGCTACATACATCACGGCATATCATTTGGACACTCATTGAACAAGTTATTAAGAAAATCTCCTCCTTAAGGGGGTGGGCCAATACTACCACATGGCATATCTCTACCAACTAGAGGCCTAGGAACATGAACGATAGCTCTAGAAGCTTCTACAACCCTCTATGATTCATTACACGTCATCGCTCCCTAGTTACCCACAAGATTGGTTAAGTTATGACATAATTTATCTATAGGTACTCTGACCTTGGACCTCCTTTTCACTTCCTATAGGCTAGGAGCCCAAGAGATGGTTCTATGGGATTCTCTTACGTTCACTACATGATTAGCAAGCTAGTTGTGGGTCGCACTTGATTTCTAATACATTTACCAAGCCTGGTTAGTCATGGAAAGTCATGGAAAATGAGAGAACTACACTCCTTTGGCATAAATAGGATTGCCCTTTCCTTAAGAAAGGGCAAGCAGGCAATACAGTAAATCGTCTATCACATACTTCCACGTCTTTTACAACTTCCAAGCATTCATCTTGTTACTCCTTGTTTCTGAAAAGTCAGTGAGGTGTTAACCTCTGACTTACCCCTGAGTTCCCAGACTCAACATTTGTTGCAACTTGTCTGAACCACTTCACTACATCACACACCTGATTGCTGCGTTGTGGAATAGTCTAAGCTACAACCCTTTGGCTCTGTTTCCTAAGACAGTGTGTTGTCTTAGTAAAATCATCCCTTCCTTGGGTGGCTAGATTCTCACATCTGGTGTACCCACCATTACAATAGGTAGCAAAGGTTATGTTTTATTCTCTTGTAATGGCTTTGAGTATTTCTAGATTTTAGTAGGAGAAACTACACTATTCACAGGCAGTGTATTAAACAGTATTAGCAAAATGGGCTGTATACGGCCCATATACAGGTCTGTATCATATATGGCAATACTAAGTCAGTGTGTATTTCAAATTCTAATACAGATCTAGTGCGTATTCAGTTCTTAATACTAGCACAGGCCATATACTATAGTAGAACCCCGATATAAGAATGTGCTTGGGACTAGGATATAAATAAGAATATGTAGTCTATTCTTATATCAGGGTACTGTAAGGACACAGGGCACCCAGCTCACAGTAATAGCATATGAGAGTGCGAGTTGGAGGCTAAACGGATGCTATCCTATAGGTCTACTACGAAGGATACAAAAAAGATGAAGGGAAAACCCCGTGAGTCAATTCCCTTAAGTACCTGAAACCCATCCGACTCGGTTAGCCCACCCCAATGATCACACGTGACCAGGGGGAACCTTGTGAGTCATTTCCCTCAAGTACCCGAACCCATCCGACTTGGTTAGCCCGCCCAAATGATCACACGTGACCCGCAGCTACTCAGAGTCTGCTCCTTAGAGTGAGAGACGAGAAGGCATCCTTACAGGTACACATGATTGTATTATATCTATGTACATAGTTATCCCTCCTTTCAAAGTAGTTTTGAATAGTTGTCTGTTGTGTAGTTTAGTGCCTAACTTGTGCCATCTCATAGCCGACATGATTAAGGGCATGTAATAAAGATATGTCCGACTTATCTACGCCCTCTTGCTATAGCTTCCATAATCTGACTATATCTAAACATCATAAAGCTTCCATTGTAGTGATTTTTTCCTACCTAACATCACCTTCATCTTCACTTTCCCCTTCGCTTGCTGCTTGGGAACTATAATGCTCGACCACTAATGCAAATATGTCTCTATAATTATCATCCACAATTTTACTAGCAGGTTTGATGGACTTAGCAAGTGAGAGGGAGTTTATTTAAGTTTGTAAATCATCTCGATCAGCTTGTAAATTGTCATTGTCAATGACTGCGTTATTTGGCTTCTTAATAATTGTAGATTTCTACTATCATTTCTCGATGGTTGTTTTTGAAACCTCGTTATTCCATAATGTAATGTGTCATACTGACATTCGTTGCACTCAGTTTGCTATCAAACTCAAGAGCAAACTTAGAAATCTCCTCCTCAAACCTACAAGTCACTATACATATTTTGGCTTGTCACACCAACAACAAGAGCAATACTACTCAATGATTGCTACAACCCTCTATGATTCATTACATTTCATTGCTCCTTAGTTACTGGGCCGATATGACCACATAGCATATCTCTACAACCCTCTATGATTCATTACATGACATCACTTCTTAGTTACTGGGCTAATACTACACATGATATATCTCTATCAACTAGAGGCCTAGGAACATGAACGATAGCTCCAAAAGCTTCTACAACCGTCTATGATTCATTACACGTCATCGCTCCTTAGTTACCCACAAGATTG